GGGGTGGGGAGATGACAACTTGTCTTTCTGACCAGCTCTGCTCAGTGTGCCCCTTCTTTTTACCGTGAATTTTACACCTGTTTTTTCACTCTTTTGTAGATGCAACTCTCTTCCAATAAAAGTAGTTCTTGCTGTGCACCTGCTTTCGTCTGCTGAGCCACTCCATCCTGACAGCAAGCATACCCACATGCAGCTGCATTGATGTGTGTTTGTAGTTATAGCAGACAGAGCTTGCTCTCTGTTTCAGGATGTAAGGCAGATTCTAGGTGCCAGCAACAGGCCTAGGAGCACTAAGTCCTGTCCTGTAGGGCTTGAGAGAGACCGGGCTCCCTGGTGGTGGGGGACAGAAATGATCTTGGGGCTGGTGCCAGGCAAAGGTGGGGCAGTGGAGGTTGTGCATACATAGGAATGCAGGGAATGCATGACCTCCCTGTAGGCTGTTCAGTTAATGAGTGAGCTCTGAACAGGAAGGGCTTTGCGCAGTCACAGTTGTGGTCACTGCCCTGTGAAAAAAAACGTGGGCATTTCCTGCCTGTGGTGCCTGGGGAAGCTTCTCACCCACAGCAGCAGCTCTCAACCCTGCCATCCTTGTCCAGGTTGCAGGATTCAGCACCAAGACTCCTACCAGCGTTGGGTATGTGGTAGTCCTACATCAGAGACATCTGTGGTGTGGGCACACTGCCTAAGGATGGGAATGTCAGGACCTGGGGGCACCTGTACAAGTGTTAATGGGGCCCTCATTCTGACCACTGACATCACAGTATGGGTCTGTTGGCTGAGTATCAGCAGCTGCAAGGAACGCGGGTGATGAACTTTCTCTCTGCCAACAAATGTCAAATCCCTAAACATTTAACTCAGTTAATATCTATTTGCCAGCTAGCAAACATTGTGAGCAGCAGAGCACAGATTTGAGCTCAGTTGCTTTCCTTCCTCGAGTAATGCATGTGTAGCAAGATAGGATTGACTGTTTCCATTGCATGTCTTTCAGTTTGCATTTCAACCTCACAATATCATAAATCAGTTTTACTGTCCTAATTTGAAATGAGAACTAGCCCTTCTTAAGGGAACTCTTCCCGCTGTTAATTATCTTAGCTGGATTTTGCCTGGGTTCTCACAGAATATTCTTGTCTTGTCTGCATTCTTCCATCTACTCTCATGTTGGCTTGCACACCCATGTCATGGGTTAAAGGGACACATCTTTGTAAGCACAACCTTTGGGTGGCTTGTTGCAGAGAAGAGGATGCTGTGGGACTAACTCATTTATTTAGAGCGTTCAGTTTGTCTCACTAAACAGCATTTGGCCCCCACTGGTCCTAAATAAATTTTTGTAATGGAATTTTATAGGAGGTTTCTTTGGCAGATGTTTTCACTTGTGTTTTTACCTCCTGGGTGTAGCAGAAATGCTGAGTCACAGCTTGAAGCAGCGATTGAGCACCTGCCCAACCCAGAGGAGCTCAGTTGCTTACAAAAGGGCTGGAGCCAGGATCCACCCCTTTCCAGACCTCATTTAGGGGTTGGCAGTGGAGGTGAGGATTTCTTTCTGGACTTCCTTGTGTAGCTGAGGTCTTCTAAGGGTGAGTAGGCTCTCTTCTTTGTTTCTGTGGTTGTCACGTTTGGGTAAATCCTTGCATGTTGTACCTGGTGCCTTGCTGCCCTGCTGTCATTGCTGTACTTGCTGTTGCTCTGTACTGCAATGCTTTTGGATCTTTAAACTTGTTTTAAAGCATTGTAATCAGAGATTTTGAGTTATCCTTGAAGATTCTGGGAATTAATAAGCATGTATCAGTTTCACTGAAATGAGAGCTGAGGTGTTTTCTGTTGTTGTTTTTTTCCTTAAAGCAAGTACTGTAATATTTCACATCTGATTTTAACTAGAGATCCCCAAGTGGTCTATAATGGTGAGTGCTAGAGGACAAATGCCTGCTGCTTGGGGAAAGTAATCCTGCTTCCGCAGAAGAATGCAGTCATGGGAAGCTGTCACACCTGGGTGAAGCACTTTACAAAGATTTTATCTTCCTATATTCACAGCTCTAGCTCTAAGACAGAGGATAAGGACTCCTCATGGATGGAGAGGATTAAAAGGGCTTGGGTTGTTGACCAAGGCAGTAATGTTTTGTAAATGAAGATGTAAGAACCATCTGTAGGCTGGGAATTCTTTTCTTGCTGTTTATCTTTTCCTCCTGACTTATTTATTTCTTTGTATTAGGCATCAAAGCCCTATTTCAAGTCAGGATGGTGTGAAGCTACCTGCTGCAGAGAGAAGTCTTGCTTGAAAGGGCTGACAGGTGACTTGTGTGAATCTTAGCCTCCAGTTCAATTGTTTTACAGTGTCTGTGGAGATAATTTCTCACTTATTTGGACAGAATTGAGGTGCTAAGCAGACTAAAATTTGCTCTTTGAAAACATAAGATTTGTTGCCATGACGTGGCATACATCTAGCTACTCACAATAGCCTTAATGGTACAATTAAATATAATTGTGGTGGGTTTCCACAAAGTGGGAACCGTACCTGCTAAACCATGATAATTTTTGACACATAACATACTAAAGAGAACAGATCGTAATGGGGTTTGGAGGCTACATATGTGCTATGAGAAGTTAGACTGTTGGGTTTATTTTTTCCACTTGGTTTAACCTGCTGCCCTATGGGCCTCTTGTCGGTAGAAGCTGAGGCAAGCTAGACTTTCTCCCTGAGTAGACAGCTTGTTTCACCTGAGTGTGTGCACACCAATAACTCAGTTCTACCTGCTGCCCTTCAGTAACGGTAAGCAAACCAAGCACTACATAATCACAAAGGCTGAGTAGACCCCTGGCAATGGGATGCTGCATGTGTTTGAGAGTTCCTTGCTGGAGGTAATCTTGTTAAAACATTTTCAGATGTGTGTGAGAATGTAAATGGCTGTCAAAGGCAGAACCTGCAACAGTGGAAGTCTTAGATGAGGCTGAAGCTGTGGAACAGCTAAAAAGCTCTGCTCTGCCTCTTGGTTGTGGTGCTCTCTGCGTACGACACAACCTCAACAGTTCTTTTTTGTCTTCTGAACTTCTGCTAATCAGTACCACCCAGATCTTAGCAGAGAAAGAAGGGAACTTGGACAGTTTCTGGACTGCATTAGGTATCCTCTCTTCTGTGGAATCTTGCATAACTATTTCCCCCTCTTCAATTATAATGTTAATGGTTATGTATCTGTTCTTCCTGCCTCTCTAGATAAAATAGTGAAGCATGGATGAATGTTGGGAGTCTACAGTTTCAGATGGTAAATGTCAAATTCTCCTCTTCTGTTTGTTGTCACCTTAATGTAGCCTCCTTTACTTGAGCTGTATGAACTCAGTGCAGCCTCTTTCTACTGTATCCATTCTGTGTCTACAAATCAGATCAGGATCATTAGCTAACATACTAATGATGATGTTGTATGACTTAAAATAACAAAAAAAAAAAAAACCTCTCTGTAAAACATTTGGTTCCATACGCATTTGATTTGGCTAGAATGAGTACAGAAAGAATCAAATAAAACAATGTGAAGTGGCAATATTTGGGATTGGGAACTTTTATCTGGTCCAGTGATAGAAGAGAAAATTGGGCAGTCTTTAAAGTATTCTGGATTGAAAATGGGAGTATTATCCTGCTGCCTAAAGCTCTGCATCCATCCCGTGTGAAACAAGGAAAACCATCAGGTTGCAAGAGGACAGTACAACTGGGAGGCTGTTTTAGGTCCAAGGCAAGACAGCCTTGCACCAAGAACAAAGAAATCAGGGAAACCTAATTATTGACATTCTGATATAATACTACTTGATCCAGGAAAGGAGAGGAGATTGACTTCAAATATTTACTGGGGAGAAAAAAATCTCAAATCATGAGAATGATGGACTTTGCACTGGGGAAGAGAGCAAAATATCTTAAGTTCAGAGCCCATGTGTATTAATGCATACTGTGCTAATGTAAGTTGTGAGATCTGCAGGTCTGGAGAGAGTGACCCACTGAGTCAGAACACAGATACCTCAAAGGTAGAGCTGTACCCATTTCCTATCTTTGTTTCAACTGGGATGGAATTGTTTTCGTCAGAATATCTGGTGTATTGGTATGTTTTGGCTCCAGAAGAAAAACAACGTTGATAACACACCGATATTTATAGTTGCTGTAAAGCAGCATTGTACAGAAGCCAAGGCCACTCTCATCCAAGTGCTCAAGCAGCTGAGAGGGAATAGAGTTAGGAGAGCTGAGTGAAACTGGCCGAAGGGATATTCCATATCGTGTGGCATGTGGAAGGACTTTTGAAGTGGGGAGTTCATTGGCTCTTCTGCTGCTTGAGGGGCTGGCTGGGTATAGATCAGGGGGTGGTGAGCAATTGCTTTGTGCATCACTTGTTGTATTCATTCATATGTATATATGAATTGATAATTGTTATCCTTTTACAATTCTCTAAGTAAACAGGTCTATCTCAACCCATGAGTCCCACTTCTTTTTTTTTTTTCCTCCTGATTCTCTCACCCAACCCCCTGGGAGGTGAAGGGAGTGAGCCAGAAACCATGTGGTGCTGAGCCACCTGCCGGGTTAAACCACAGCACTTGCCCAGCAGTATTTTTCAAACTGAAGTGACTGATCTTTGCGTGAACAGGTAGCTCTGATTTCTTAACCATCTGACTTGTGATGTCTCTTGCCAGTGAAGAGGCTCTCTGCAGGTGTGGCTGGCAGGGAGGCATAGTGCCTTCCTGTTTCACCGGGCTCACTAACCATCTGTTACATGACCAGCATGTCATGTCATTCCCAGCCGTGCATGTCTTCAGCTGCTGACTCAGAAGGCAAAGCCCTTCTCAGGCTGCATAGCCCCAGTACCAGGGACCTCATCTTCCCATCCCCCAGATAGAATCATTGAATGGCCTGGGTTGAAAAGGACCATAAAGATAATCTGGTTTCCATTTCCAGCCCCCTGCTACACGCAGGGTCGCCAACCACCAGACTAGGCTGCCCAGGGCCATGTCCAGCCTGGCCTTGAGTGCATCCAGGAATGGGGTGTCCACAGCCTCCTTGGGCAACCTGTTTCAGTGCTTCACCACCCTCTGAGTGAAAAACTTCCTTGTAATGTCTAACCCTAGACCTCCCCTGTCTTAATTTAAAACCATTTCCCCTTGTCCTATTGCTATCCACCCTTGTAAAAGATAGGATCTGAGAGATCTGCTCTCCCTGCAGTTGTTGTGAATAGGTTTGTGTTTTCTGAGCTGAGAGGAAAGCCATATACGCAGCAATTTGCCTTTTAAGGTTTTGCTTCACTGCACACCATGCCTCACTGACTCGCACAGCTCCTTTCAGGCACTTCCTCAATTTTAATGTGGTGCTGTTTCCATAATATGTAATAAACACCACTGAGGCTGATAGTTCAGTTTTGAACAGGGTGAATGTAGTGAGATCCCTGATGCTGAAAGAATAACAAGGCTGAAAAGTCCTCTGCGCTTCAATATGCACTACTGCTTGCTGCACTGTGCCATAATGAAAGCTGAATGCCTGCCTTCCTCCTCACTTCTCACACAGTAACACTTTATCTGAGGGGAAAACCGACTGTCTGTAGTTACTGCAGAAACCACTCACAGCTGAGACAGGGTAAGTGAAGGGAATAGAAATGAGAGAGAGGTGTGCATGGTTGTCATATGATCTCTGCAGCATCCCCGCACTGTTGCAAATTCAGCCATACGTTTCTGGGTTTATGCTGAGTTTGTGGACTTGGACTGTCTGACTGGCACCTTCTCTTGGCATGTTAGTTCTGTCTGCCCCTCCCTTCTACAGAGCTGAGTGTGGATGGAGGTATGGAAATGCTCTGCATAGGCAGTGAAGCGACCACATCTGATAAGGAAGTCCTGAGCTCTAGGAACTGCTGTACATGGGAGGATTTAAATGGTAAGTGAGAATTTTCCCCTTTTATTAACTCTGTTTTTCTGAAAGAAGTCGGCAGAGACAGGTGTGGAAATAATTCCTTCTGGAGAGGAGTGTTCTCGACTGATTTGTCAGCTAATGATTCTGTTCTTCTGGGGTACAAGCACGTGTTGCTTGGCAAAATACATAATTAAAGGTCAGGATGTTTTGAGAAGTAATTAACTCAAGCCCTAGGATTTGTTAGCTGACAATAAAAAAAAGCCATTTCTATAATGTACTTTAATGTCACTGAAGGCAAGTATGGATTCACGTTTCTGAAATCCTTTTGCATGTTTTTCTGCAGGTGGTGTTGACTGATTTTATTTTTTTCTTCAAGAGCAGTAAAACGATGTTCATTCAGGGCTTAATGAGCCATCACTACAGATTAACACGCTGGGAGCATCTTCATCCTGCCATCTCTGCTGCTCCATGGGGAAAGCAGGCTGACGTGGTTATTAAATCTGGCAGCTGTGTTGTGTGCACATGGGAAACAAGCAGAGTACAGCATATAGAACATGAGTAGCTTTCAGAAAGAAGCCTTCCATTCACTGCTACAAGGCTTGAAAGGCAGACTAAAAAGCTTTCTCCTTTTGGAATCACCAGTTGCTGGGACAGTGTGCAAATACTACAAATGCAGTAGCAAACGTAAGTATTCCTTGCCTGTTGCAGTGCTTTCAGATTGCTAATGGGGGATTTCTACCTTGGTGTGCTGCTTGAAAAAGCAGAGGGTTGAAAGCTGAAGCCATCCTGAGAGTGAATGGTTCTCTGCAGTTTTGTTTTGGCCTTCGGTGGAGGAGCTGCTGAGAGGAAGGGATGTGTGTAAGTTGTCCAAAACAAATAGTTTGCAGTTGTGTTTGTTGATTTTTGGGGTGATGGCCACTTTGTGAAGGGAGAAGCCAAGCAAATGCAGGGGGTGCTAAATGGTTTTCTTCTTATGTTATATGCAGTAAGAAAGGTGTTGTACATAACTAATAGAAAAGCTAAAATTGGATTGTCTGCACAAAATATTGAGTATGCAGTTTTAGAGGAATGTAATACTGTGTCTAGATGCCTCAATTTATACAAAAACAAAGGCACAATGTATGGTGCACTGGGAGAGAGCCTTGAGCCAAATGTGAAATTGACAACTGTCTGTATGAAGTTCCAAAGTTCACCTAGCCCAGTATCCTATGTCTGACAGCAGCCTACAGCAAATGCTCGTCAAACAGGACAAAGTTCCTATGACATTACTGGAAATATAGTAAATGGATTGATGACTTGTTCTTAAATCTTCCACATAGATACATACATCTGCAAATTGAAGATATCTCTCTCATTTTTTTTCAGTTGCAAATTTACATTCCTGCTAATCTGTACATGAACTGTGAAAACATGAGGGCTACCCCAAAAGTGATGGCCAGGTAATGGCTGTTTTCAGTGAGGACCTCGCATGGATCAGCTGCAATAAGGGATCCTGGAGAGAGGTAAACAGAACCAACCCCCAGAACTGCAGCGCTTGGTCAGCACGGCAGCCCCCAGATCCCCTCCCACCCCGTCCCAGTTATGCAGGAGTCGTGCTTGTGCTGCTGTGGTGTGAGTGGAGCTGGGAGTGATGGCAGCCAGTGCCCTGCCTGTATAAAAGCAGCTCCCCTTATGGAGCACAGCAACACAGGAGCATCATGAGCAGGCTGTGCAAACAGGGCATGCTTGGCAGCACAGGCAGTTCTCATGGGGCAGGGAGGGCGAGCAGGGAGGATCCACTCCTCTTTTCCCCTCTTCTTCTCCCCTCCCCTCCTCTCTACTCCTTTGAGAGCTCTATGGTGCTGCTGCCTCTTAAAATTACCACGGTGGGCACCTGTCACAGCAGCCGGGCTGAGACAGCAACCCAGACCAAGGGGACACAACCTCTCTGGTCTCGTGTGGGCACCTGAGTGGACATCCTGAGGGGGGAAGGGCAGTCCAGACCATTGGCAGTGGGGAGCTTTGGTATCTGGAGTTCCCTCTGAGGCCTGAGAGAGCAGAAGGCTGTCATGGGTGCAGCTATGTGCATGTATGCTGAGGGAGCTTGACAGGTGGTTGCTGAACTGCTCTCTGTCATCTTTCACAGGTCTTGGAGAACAGAAGAGGTGTCTGAAGAGTGGAGAATAGCCAGTGTCACTGCAGAAAGGGAAAGAAGGAGGGTCCGGGAGACTACAGGCCAGTCAGTCTCCCCTCTGTCCCTGGGAAAGTGACAGAACAGCTTGTTCTGGATGCACCTCTGAGCAATTGGAAGACAAGTTATCAGGTGTAGTCAGCGTGGATTCTCCGAGGGGAAATCATGTTCAACCAACCTCGTAGCCTTCTATGATGGATGGATAGATGAGGGGAGAGCTGTGGATGTTGTCTGTGTTGACTTCAGCAAGGCTTCTGATGCTGTCTCCCATGTCATCTTGATAACGAAGCTGAGAAAGTGTGGGATAGATGAGTGGACAGTGAGATGTGTTGAGAATTGGTTGAGCTGAAAGGGCGGTGATCAGTGATGCAGAGTCCAGTTGCAGACCTGTGACTAGCAGTGCTCCCCCGGGGGTCAGTGATGGATCTGGTCTTGTTCAGGGTCTCCATGAATTACCTTGATGAGGAGATAGTGTCCGCTCTCAGCAGGTATGCTGATGCTACAAAGCTGGGAGGAGTGACTGACATCTGATGGCTGTGCTGCCATTCAGCAAGAGCTGGACAGGCTGGAGAGCTGGGCAGTAAGAAACCAGGTGAGGTTTAACAAAAGCAGGTGTAGAGTCCTGCATCTGGGAGGAAATAACTGCAAGTATCACTATAGGTGGTTGCATGACCTTCTGGAGAGGAGCTCTGTGAAGGACCTGGGGGTCCTGGTGGACAAAAGTTTGGCCATGAGCCCTTGTGTATGCCCTTGTGGCCAAGAGTGCCAATGGAATCCTGGGGTGCATTAAAAGGAGCATGGCCAGCAGGGCAAGAGAGATCTTCCCCCTCTCCTCTGCCCTGGTGAGGCCATACCTGGAGTCCTGCATCCAGTTCTGGGCTCCCCAGTACAAAAAAGACAGGGATCTCCTGGAAAGAGCCCAGCAGAGGAGCGCACAGATGATAAAAGTGCCTGGAGCACTTTTTTTTTCCCTATAAGGGAGGTTGGGTGACCCGGGTCTGTTCAGCCTTGAGAAAAGAAGACTGAGAGAGGATCTGATTAATGTTTATAAATATCTTAAGTGTGGGAGACAAAGGGACATGGCCAACCTCTTTTCAGTGGTCCGTGGAAACAGGACAAGGGGAAATGGCTGTTAACTGGAGCGTGGGAAGTTCTGTGTCAGTATGTGAAAGATGGAGGGTGATGGAGCACTGGAATGGGCTAAGGTGAGAGGCGGTGGAGTCTCCTCTGGAGGTGTAGCTGTGCAGCCTGCTGTAGGAAGCCTGCTTTGTCAGGGGGTTTGGAAGCAATCTCTAGAGCTCCCTTCCAACCCCTCCAGTTCTGTGATTCTGTGATTATAGACATCAGGTGAGACAGTGATGGGTGAATTATGGAAGGTGTGAGGCTTCTTTCCCAGGTATGTTTGAAGTTTCTGAGACCAAATTGAGATCATTTTGGATTTTGCAATAGAACCTATGTATCCATTATTTTGCATCGTGTTTCTGTATGCCTCTATTAATAAAGTCCTCATGAGTTTGAACAATCTTCAGCAGACTCCTACACTCGTAATCAATCACTGTCAGCCTGAAGAAAATCTTTCTGTACTAATTCTGACATAGGGCTGTTTCACAGTATCCACTTCCTGCTGTATTATTGCTGAAGCTTAGAAGACTTTTCTGCATTGCAGTCCACTTCAGTCAATTTATGTAATTAAAATTAGTAAATTGGTTGAGAACTGGCGTGTTGTGGATACACATCAGTGGCACACACCACCACTTGCTGAGGGAGTGCAGAAATCGCCTCTACTTGGATGTGTAAGATTGAGATGTGCTGGACCATGTAACGTTTGTCTTGACCAATGTGACTCTGAATGCTAAGCAGAGGACCACGTAGCAGTGCAGACAATGTTGGTGTGGTGATGTTTTGATAGGGCTGTACGCTGGCTGGGACCTGCTGGACTCGGTGTTTCCTCCATATTGCCTTTATGTGTGCAGTGATAGTTATGGACCTGCTAGATTGTCAAACAAGTGGGATTTTTATTTGAAAACTTGGGCCTAATTTTCATTATAGATTATTTGCTCATTCTATGTGTTGTGCAGCTTTATTTTATTTTATTTTATTTTATTTTTTTGCAAATTAGCCTTGAAATGAAGTAATTTACCTCAGTATGCTCTCAGGTCAGTGCACGAGTGACATTAAAGGCACAGTGTCTGTGTTCTGAGTACATGCAGTATGCCGAATATATCCTTACAGCACCTTTTGTCCTAGGAATCGTTCAGATCATCTCAGAGAGGAATGCCCTTAAAGCAGTGGTGTTGAGAGAGTATATTGGTTTTGTACAGGTTGTTTACAATTTCGTGGTCTGCCAAAGAAGTCCCAGGAAGTTTTCATTTTTGACATGCAGCTCAGTGCCCTGCTGTGCTCATGAAATGCAACTGATGAGTTACTGCTGTGGTGATGCATAGAGATACTTTATTCAATGCTATGATTACTTTACAAAGTCCTTTAGACTTGTCTGATAAATAACAGCAATCAATGAGATTTTTTATTACATTGTTTGCAGGTGCTGGAATAGTATCTTATATATATATGGTAATACAATATATACAATAAGTTGCATGAACGTTAACAGCCATACGTGACAGAAATAACATCTGTACAAATTGCTTACAGTTGCCTTGCGTAGTTAAACCTTAAGATAACTTTATTGCTGGAGAGAAAAAAAGCAGGCAGAATACTGCTTAATTTATCCTAGTTATTGTGCTTTGGTCAGTATGGCTGGAACTGGATCCGTTTAGGGTGAAGTTAAACTAGGAGACAAACTCTCAGGGTCTCATCAGAGCATGAATGAGTTTACTTTGGAGTAAAACAATAGTAATAAACGTTGCATTTTTAGTTTCTGACTCTAATGAACTGAAAAACAAACAAAAAACCTAACAGCAGCAGCAAGACATCTGTACAATTGAAAATAGACATCGTTCAGAAGACATTGCTGGAGCTCTGAAATGAATCATCAGTGCAATAATCATTAGGATGTTATTCTTTCTTATGAATATCAAAGATAGAACTGTCTGCCAGGTCTTGGGAACTATCAGGTGAAAGTGACCTCCAGTCTCAGTCTGTAATCATCTTATCAGGAATAATAACTAAGCAGTTTGTCACTTACTTTCTATTTTTCATTTAGCTGTAAGAACAAAAAAACTGCAACTCTGATGTGACTTTTGACTCTGGGTGTTGGAAAAACTAGCAAATTATTCCTACCAAAGATGCAGAGTCTTTGCAGCCGGAAGCTCTGAGTTGTCTTCAGACAGACTCTTTAAACTCTATTGATTCCAATGGGAAATCTCACTGCAAACTAAAGAAGCCTGATTGCATCACTCTCGTTACTTGTTGAGTCTTGCAAGCCAGACAGTTCACAGGAAAGGGAGAAAGAAGAGATGTAAAAGGATTTTATCGTGTTTCTAAATCGCTCTTAGGTATGCCTAAGGCAATACATCCTATCTTTAGCAACTGACTTCATCATTCCCTGAAGATTCATCTGAAGATGTTCTTGTGTTGCACAACAGATAATAGCACCATGCTTTTGAAATGCCTGTTCTTCTTGCCCATAATTTAAGCGGCCTTAGGAGGAGCACAAATGTCTTGTGACGTTCTGTTTACTGAAAACCTCCTTAAAGGTGAGTGATCCAGCTACTCTATTTTCAGGGCACAAACAGCTTGAGCAGAGGACTGG